GTACAACACGTTGGTGACATTTTGCTCTCTAAGCTTGATGGTAATTGATTGTCTTGTTGAGGAAGAAATTTAAAGGAAATGTTTTGTAACAATTGTTTTTCCCCCCTCATTTATGTAGTTTAAGTAAAGCTCTGCTGCTCTTCATGAGCTTAAATACAACGGGTATTGAAAAAAATAAAAGACATATAAATGGTAATATAGAATTCTTCAGAAATTTCAGCATTCTTTATAATGTCATTAATGGGAGGCTTATATAAACAATTGACTTGAAAGAATAAGTAGTTGGGAAAGGTTATTTTTGTATTAGGTATGGAATGAGGTAAAAAGCGCAATATCTGCAAATAGATCATCTAGGGTTTGCATAACTTTAAAAATCTTGAAACAAAAAAACTCCAACTTTACGCGGTTGGTTGGGATATTAGGAGATTTCCAACTGATTGTTCAAATCCCATAAAATTGATACAAACTGATCTGAATCATATCTACATGCATAGCCCACAAGTTTGTATTTAACTGGTAAGTGGGGCATCCAGTTTCACGTCCTCCATGTAGCTGGCCTTGTATTTGTGCCTATAATTTATAAAAGAAGAGCATTGAAACTAATATTACGACAAGGAACCAAAAATTCAGAGGACAACGCTAGAATATCGACAGAAATCAATCAAATGTCTACATAAACTTATCAAGATGGCTAATATTCATCATTCACGTGCATCAGATCAATCTTACACTCAATGAACTAAACTCTGAGGGTTATGAAAAATAAGGGGAGATCACATTTTTGGTCCTTATAGTCTTGGAAGAAGACATTTTTTAATCCTCGTCCTTTGTTGGGTTGCAACTCTAATCAGATAAAATAGTCCTTATCAAGGCTGCTAATGCTAATCTCTTGACGTTGAGCAAGGGGAGCATCATTGCACGTTTTAATACTATGGGGAGTCCAAATCATGCAGTGTGACGTGGGGATAAGCATCCGTTCCTTTTCCCTTTGTCTTTTTTTAAAATTTGGGGAATTATTTTGATTGATAAGGAGACAAACCATCAATAATTTGCTGGGGACATTCCATAAATTAATCAATGACTCGACCCCATGCTCACTCTTGATTGAGGGTTGATCGAATTAGCATAGAGCCATGGACAGGAAGAGGTGGAGAGACAGCTAACATTGGATGGGTCCTGAGATGTCAATCCGTGTTGTTTGCCTTCTGTTGGATGTTTGTTTGTAAAACAAACAAAATAATGCTCTTTCCTTTGTCCCACATAGGAAAGTATTGAGAAAGTGGGCCGCTTTATAACTGTGAATATCTTCTTGCTCCTTAGAGTGAAGACAATGGGGTGTGTGCTAGTCCACACAATACCCGCGTGCGGGTGCGCGAATAATTGCGCGATTTTGGCGCACTTAGCACTAACCCCTTTATATTTTTATTTTATTTCTTAAGGTTATCTTATTAATTTTTATTAGTTGAAAGGTTGTTTTTGTTTATTAAGTAAATTTCGAAATTATGAAAATTCGGAATTATATATTTATTTATTTATTTTATTCAGAATTTTACGTGTCTTTCCAAGACAACTTTTGGAGATTATACCTGTTCAGTTTTCAATCTTTTCCGAAGGGTTGCATCTATTCAGTTTGCAACTTCTTCCGAAGGAATATCTTTGTCAGCTTTGCAACCTTTCGTGAAGAGTTGCCAATGTTCTTTAAGACCGATTTCTATATATGTCAGTTTTTGGCAAGAAAGAAAACAGAGATCAATTTCTTCAAGTTTTCTTTCGAAAACTACAGCCATCATTTCTTTTGTTTCCTAGAGAGACCCTGGAGAAATACTAGAATTGCTATCTAGTATTCTCATTTTGAGACTTTGTTGTATCCTGGAGGATTTTTGCCGGTGACCATTAGTAATAATTGTGGGGCAAATAAATCCTTAAGGAAAGTGATATCACGCCTCAAAGTCCAACTTGATTGCTCTTTTGATTCGAAGCCATTTTATTTTACAACACCTTCATCATGCAGGAGGTTTTGATCCTAGTCATAGATCCTAAATCAATAAAATCTGGGCAAATGACTCGCATGATTCATAAACTTTGACCAAATGTATAATGTGGTTCTTGAACTATAACTTTATTCAATATAGTCCCTGAACTTTAACCCAATGTGCAATGTCATTCCTGAACTTTTAATTTGTCTAATATGATCTCTGGACTCCCTGGACTTTTGGTAAATGTTCAATTTACTCCCTAGACTGTATGAAAATGTTCAGTATTTTTCATGAACTTGAATTAATGAAAGGACAATATTGAATATTTTCATACAGTCTACGGACTAAATTGAATATTCACCAAAAGTCCAGAGACTACATTGAACAAATAAAAAGTTCATGAACAACATTGCACAGTAGGCTAAAGTTCAGGAACCACATTACACATTGAGCCAAAGTTCAATGACTATTTATGTCCTCATCCCTAAAATATGATGAAAATTCATAAAATTCATGAATCTAGACGTAAATTGGACCATGTACATAAGAGACATTGTATATTGCCATGCATTTAGCTCTTGGGAAATCTTACAGTACTTACATTTTGATTTTCGTAGATCCGAGACACTTGAAACTTTTCAAAAAACTCAAATATTGACGTGTAAAATCGTATGTATTCTTTTTTTTTTTTGGGTAAAGTTCGTATGTATTCTTTTGTAACTATAATTTTCACATTTTTTCCTGTAAATGAAAAGAAGATATTTCCATGTAACCCCTTTAGAATGGACAAAGGTATGGCCTCGACTCAAGGCTTCATTTGATCTAGTTCTCAAACTAGATATGGCAAAACACTCTTAATCAAGTACTCGGACACAAAGTGGACTATGCACAACGTATACACCACATAGCTTAAAAGTCACTCAATGATTAACATTGCATGATGCATCACGTCACTTGGTATTTTTTTATTAGAAGAGGATAAGTGGTCCCAGATTGCTGGCAATTAAGTCGGTATTATATGTTGGCTTGAAGTCTTTAACTAATGATGTCCATAGCAAGCAAAAGAATCTTAGATTTAATCCTATGGTCCTCCAAAGAATATCGGTCTGGTCTTTTGGTCGCTAACTTGTTGAGTAAGTGGTTCATGCTGGCCTCTGTCTCTCTCTCTCTCTTTCTCTCTCATATGGTTAAATATGTATATTTTTTGAAACCGTAAGTTTGTAACCTCACTTCAACAGAAGTGTGACCTCCGGTACCGCCGGGGGACTTGCTGCCATGCCCGTGGAGAATCGCTCCCTCTGTCCCTCCCTCCTTGCGGTGACCTTAACAAGTTCATCATGGCCGTTATGGCTCTCACGGCAACCTTGCCAAGGTCCACCACGAGTCACGGCGATCTCGAATAGAGGTCGTGACGACCATGGCAGGGTACCAAGAGCAATAGCTACAGCGACCTTGACTATCTTTAGGTCGTTGTGGCTAAGGGTGAGCATCGGGTTTACTTTAACTAGGGAACCGGCCGGAATTGTTATGGTCGATTTCGTTCCAAGCCGGTTCTAGGGAGAATGGGTTTAGTTCCCGGTTTTAAGGCTACAACTATCGCTTTTACTAAGGAACCAATTCTACTAGGCCAGGTTGTATGTTGAATTGATTTTGACCAAAAAAAAAAAACGTTTGCAACCATAATATTTGAATCATGGATTTCAATATAATCAAATGATCACATAACCACTTGACCAAGGAATGTTTTATAATGTATAAAATTTGGATTCTAACCCGAAACATAAGAATGGGATGGTTTCCAAGTTGAACTGAGAACCGACGATTCCAAAACCAGCTGATTTGGTGCTCGATTCTAATCTTTTGGAATCAAAGGTCACAGAGTTAGTTTTTGATTCTAGGTTGAGAACTGACCCACCTTGAAAGGGATCACTCTTAGACAGGGTATCCGGAGAGAGAGAGAGAGAGAGAGAGAGAGAGAGAGAGAGAGAGAGAGAGAGAGAGAGAGCAGAGAGAGAGGTGTCCATTGCCAGCGAGGTCCATGGCACTGGAGGTGATGGCTGGTGGTGGCGGAGGTGGTGGCAGACTTAAATTGAGATTTTGGATGAATTGGTGTGTTGATGGTTTTAAATTAGGATTTTTTGGGTGTCCATGATGGAGGTATTTTAGTCATTCCAATGAGATTGTGGGAGCAAACTCGAACTTTCAAAAGTAAACTTATGTAAGTGGTGAAGTGGTGAAAAGTCAGCCACTTTCGCGATAATTTTTCCAAATTAAAGGGAAAATTCATTTTGATTGGCCAAGGAAACCACGACATAAGATACGGTAGATAAAATAAATCCCTAAGAGCGATATGTTGGAGTATCTCTCTTTTTTGGTTTGATATTGGACTCTACTGTTTTATGAAATATAGTTATTTCGAGATATGAATCCACTACTTCTCCTAAGATGTTTCCTTTGATATCTCAATAAATCTCAATTAATACATACTTATATGCATCGAATGAGATTGAGTGAGACATGAAGAGAAGTATTTGGAGAGGACTTTTAACTATTGTTTTGTCTATATAAAAAAGTAGCCTATGCAATTTGCAGATTGAAAAATGACCTTAACTGGGAACTTTATTTGTTCAATTGGCATGATAACTAAATTACCGGGGAGCCGTTGCAATTAGGGGCCACCAATAGGTGAGCTGGGCAGCCGTCGTATTCGGATGGGATTAGCGCAAAATTATGGTCTAAACTCTTGTCCAGGCTTGCCCAAAATTCCTTTTGGTCATTGTGGCTTCGATGGTCAGAAATTTGATTGTACAAACTTGACAAGTTATAGAATTTGATTGCACTTTTTGAAAGTTTTAAGATTCAATTGGACTTTCGTAACAAGTTTTAGGACTTCTAGTACACTTTTACCGATTTACTCGCAAGCAATCACACACACAAACATGAAAGACCTGGACTCTTATCGAAAGACCGCAACTCTTATCATTGTTCAGTGTTTACCTCACATCCCGAGCACGAAATTCATCAAGCCAAGATGAAAAAGAAATGGCAAAGAATGGAGAACGACTGTTCTCAGCTCTTTCAGCTGTGATCCTAGACAGACTGGTCATGTATAAATAGCTGTCCACGCAGTAGAGTCAGTGTCCAGTAACTCAGTGGAGAGAGAGAGAGAGAGTGTGTGTGTGTGTGTGTTCTGGGCATTTCTGGTGGAATATATCGGGCACACAGTTCATCTCTTTCTGTGGTTAGAGGGAGATTCCGCAGATTCGGGATCCATCCAAGAAACACCACTTTCTCTCTTGATTCTCGGGAAAAAAGAAAAGGTAAGCGTTAGTAACTTTCCCACTCTGTCAGAAAGGAAAGGAAGCCCTTTTATTTTGCAAGCTAATTAATCCTCTTTTAGTATTCCCATCACATCAGATGTTTTTTTTCCTTTCCTTTCCTTCCTCTTCTTGAGTTTTCACGACGTTTGCCAGAAATTAAGGTTCCGTTTTCTGCAAAACCCTTTAGCTGACATGACGAATTGCATTGAATTAGACTGGAATTCCATGACATAAGATTGACATTAGCTGGCAATCCCACGAGCAGCGTCGAGTTTCACTTACCATTTTCGAAGAATGACTATATTTCCATATCAGTCGGCCTTCACACTTTAGGCAATAGCATTACTACCGGTGCAGAAATATAGGCCTGCAAATCTTGAATATAAGGGAATTGATTGATGAGTCCTTCACACGAGTCCATACGTCCCTGATTGGATCTCCTACATATTCTTTTCCGGGATTCGTTTTCGGGTGACTTCTTTGTGTTCATCAAGGACTGAGTCTGTCGAGTTGCACAGGAGAGAGGGAAAAAACATGAAGAATTCAGTTTCTGAGCAGAGCTTCTACATTGAAAGTGACGAGGAAGAAGAAAGGGATGAAGAGAATGGGTTTGGCAAAGGCGGCGTCCGCGGTGACGGAAATGAATCGGATTCCTCCGCTTCCTCGGCGGAGAACCGCCATCAGAACAGGCCCAGCTCTTACAACACCTCCTGGCCTCAAAGTTACAGGTCTCCTTTTCCTCTCAATTATTTCTGCTAGATTTATCATTGGATGAACGACCCGTGTGCTTGGACTTGGTTTTGTCATTGAATTTTTCCGCATATGAATAAACCAAAGGCAAGCGTGTAAACTAATTAATCCGAATCATAAATTAAGTGATTCTTCTAAATTCAAATGAATACGTTATTTTTGCCATATAATTGATACAATCAAAGACCAATTAATTAATCGCTTCCGATAATCCGTGTTTCAGGCAATCCATCGATCTCTATAGCAGCGTGCCGTCGCCGAACATCGGATTCCTCGGAACCACGCCGCTGTCAAAACTAAGCGGCTCATTCCTCTCGTCGTCGACGCTGACACGGAGACACACTCCGGAGATACTGTCGGAGGTTGCAAAGCCGCTTCTGCCAGAGCAGGAGGAGGAGCCGCTGCAGCAGCGGCGGAGCTCTCGCGCACTGCTCCCTCCACTACCGCGGAAGGCATCGGTCCGGAAGGATGAGAAACCGTCCAAAGGGGCTGCCCACGAGCTGCCAATGTCTCGCCAGAGCTCTTACGGACAAGCTGTGCTCAATGGTACGTTGAGTCTTCGTTACATGTTACCCAATATTCTTTTACAAGTCGTGGCATGTTAATTTCAACATATATCCATAAAACATAATCGACCAATCACAATGTTTATTAGGCAGTGCAAATATGCGACATTGCTCGTGATATTCTACTTGTTTTACCGACGTTGGACCGAATGAATAATGATGTTTTAACTATAGTATGTAGTCCCCAAATTACAGCATATATCTAGGTGTAAAAATCCATGTTTGTTCATATCCAAAACAACTGAGAAAGGGACTAGTCAGGACACGATATCGATGTCCAAATCTAATTAAGATCACAAAATCTTAGAAGTGCAAAATGGAGCAGATTGGATGAGTTTGACAGAGAGCAACCCCGCCTTCACAAAGTTTGTCCATGTGCACATATTGTCTCTACTCATCAAATTTGATCTGGACCTTAAAAAGGGAGAAACAAGAAAGGGACTTCAAATCCATCCGACAAAACTTTCTGGTCGAGATTTTGATCCACGGTCGCAATAGCTTATAGCGCCTACTAGAAACGGTCTTACCAAGTTTTAAGACGTTTTGGCTTTAAAACCGGCCGTACTAAACGATGCACTTCAAAACGATGTGATGTCATAAATAATAAACCCATTTGGCCTAACACATTAAAACATGTAAATTTAAAACACATAAGATTAGACCACTATGATAATGTGGTTGATGATCATGATGTGAATATGTGGTCGAGGGGCCACGCGGGGGGAGCGGGGCCCACGGCGGCCCTATGATTTATCGCTATGCGTTGGTTGGATATGACTTATGATGGTGTTTTCTTCTCGCCACTTGCCTTCTTAGGATTTTTTCTCCAAGCCTTCGGATGATTTTTCATATCCTCACGTCGGCCGGTCCACTACCACATCAAATAGAACTCCTCACCTTGATATCCCTGTAGATTGTGTTTGTCTGAATGAATATAATTTGCGAATTCAGTTTTTTGAACTTTCACGTATTTAGTTTAGTTAAAAGAAAATCAGTTACGGCCGTAGAAAATATGCATCGTATAATAAGGAAAATAAATTCCCTGCTGTGAAAATAGAAAAACGTTTGCTTTGAATGCACCCTAATTATTGTGATCATGGGCAATTCTAAATATAGTCTCTAGATTGAAATAACACAGTCAATTCTTCCTGATATTGTGATCATTCAACATTCGTATCATTATATACCTTATAATTGCAACAGCATGGGAATTGTTTACAGTTTTTTTGTTCTTTTTGGGTCAGCTAGCCTGCTATATAATATTTCATATAGCCCCAGCTTAATTTAAAACTTATCTAGACGAGATAATTGGATGCTCGTGAGAAAAATTCTTATATATTCCATGTTCTCTTGCAATCCTTGGTCGTGATCTCTGTCTTCTTTGTGTGTTTTTCTTCTTTCTTTGATTATTTTAAGTTTGTGAAATCTTGGCTTGTGGTGGGTAGGTGGTCGGAATGAATCAGCCTATGTTTATTGCATGATGGCACATGGTGCACATGAACCGTTCAGCTGCCCAACAAATATATGTTGTTGCCCATACCATGGTCAAAGAAGTATACACTAATAATGCACAAAGGACAGAAACATTAACACCAACTTTTGTTTAGTAACTTTCTTCGGATACAACAATAAGACAAGAACATCTCCCTTTTCATAACTTGGATGTATTGTTAATTCTGGGAATTCCGCTTTTGGTCCTCAAACTTGCACGGTTAATTGAATCTAAGTGCTTCAACTTTTGATTTGTCTAATCAAATCCTTAAACTGGCATGCTTTTCTGATCAACTCCATCCGAGCTCCAATCCGGTTTGTCGGACCCGATTTGTGTGTCGGAACGGGCAAGATGTTTGACGTGGAAAGTTCGAATGCAAAGCCGGTGTTAAGAGATCGATTTACTCAAATTTGGGTTGTGATCTTTAGAGCCCTTAGGTCTCTCAAACTATTCCTACTTTTCAAATTCTGTGCAATTACATTACCTACGAGCAATACTTGTTTCGATGAGTTCGTGTGTTTTTTGTTTAATTCATAAAAACCTTCTCTATAGGCATGAACGTTCTATGCGGAGTTGGGATACTGTCAACACCATATGCAGCAAAAGAAGGAGGGTGGGCCGGAATGTCCATATTGATCGTGTTCGGGGTGTTGTCCTACTACACCGGAATCCTACTGCGTCACTGTCTGGACAGCCAACCCGGGCTTGAGACTTACCCAGACATCGGTCAAGCCGCATTCGGTACTCTCGGACGGATTGCCATCTCGGTAAAACGTCATATTATTCACATGCTCATTTCTATGACAGTAAACTTGAATGACTACAACACAACTGTAGATCCCAGGGATAAATGTTACTTCCGTCATGAAAGAAAAACTTGGATTGGCCTCTGACATCGGTTTCTTTTCTTGTGTGTTGTCTTTGTGGGTGCAGATTATTCTTTACGTGGAATTATATGTAAGTACAGTTGGCTAATTCAGGGAGTATTTCTTGTGATTTTCTTTACTTGTAATGTCTTTAAGAATGTGACGAGGGCAACTTGGGACCATGTCATCTTATACATTTACTTAGTTATACTTCATACTTCTTGATAATATTGGGGTCTTATATCTTTTTTGGGCAGACTATTGGGGTTTTCTATCACCGTTTCTTGTTTTATACGGTGATTTAATATGATTTTTCTTTGTTTGTTTTTACGAGTATATACGTTGTGTCTGCAGGCATGTTGTGTGGAGTACATTATATTGGAAAGTGATAACTTGTCGTCCCTGTTCCCAAATGCACAAATCAGTTTGGGTGGATTTCATTTGGACTCGCATCACTTGTTTGCTTTGATGACCACGCTCGCTGTTCTTCCTACTGTTTGGCTTCGAGACCTCAGTGTCCTCAGTTACATCTCTGGTGAGTTAACTTTATTTCTTGATTGCCAATATGGGAATTTCAAATAAAAGCTCTTGTTACACTATCGGAAATCTACGCCGATCAATCTCCGAATCCATTCATCATGTGCATAAATTGTTGAAAGCTTATGATGGCACGTTTTTCATTTTTAGTATGCTGAAATGGCACTCTTGTTTTCGCCAAAACAAGTACATTGGCGAAAAGATTGGACCTTGATCACTGTCTTAAGATGATTTCGATGTGTGAAAAGGGCGTATGTAAAACACAACCATGCATTGCTATGTTGGTTATTCTGTGCATGACATTTCTTGTAGTTTAACCACATATTTGAATTCTGAAACCCAATTAAGTCCAGTTTGAAGTAATTTGCGGGTTAAAATGGCAACATACCGTTATGTTCTTTTTGTTGTCCACATTTTGCCTTTCACTTTTCCTTTCTCATGCATATAGTCTAGCTGGGTTGACACTCCTTCACCGAGTGGACTACTGGATGAGCTATCTTAAGTGCATAGTGATCTTGATTGGGGATAAGTTTTCAGCTCATTGATCCTTGCTTCATCTTTTCGTAGCCGGGGGAGTTATAGCATCCGTGTTGGTTGTCCTATGCTTGTTTTGGGTCGGACTTGTTGATCAAGTTGGTTTCCATGCCAAGAGCACGACAACGCTGAACCTTGCCACTCTTCCAGTCGCTATCGGTCTTTATGGCTACTGCTACTCCGGACACGCCGTATTTCCAAATATCTATACCTCAATGGCTAAGCCAAGCCAATACCCATCTGTCCTTGTAACCAGGTAAATTTAATCCTCTGATGGACAATATATCCCTTCGGGTGATTTTTCAAAAGTCTAGAGACCAAAACACCATTAGTTGTCAATCTTGTGGCTCTGTTAATGGTCAAGATTATTTTTTGAGCTTAGGCTCGAACATTCTAGCCTCAAAATCGCGACTGATAACAATGCTCAGAGCAGTACAATGTTCTGAAGTTGTATTTACAACTCATCAAATTCTCAATTGAAAGGCTTTGAAGAACAAAATAGTTCATGTGGTCTAAACATTCATGCAACTTTATTCTTAAAGAATTTTATTGTACTACGGGTGTAGTTTTGCCATTTGCACTTTGATGTACGCGGGAGTGGCCGTTCTGGGATACTTGATGTTTGGTGAATCGACACAGTCGCAATTTACGCTCAACATGCCCCAAGATTTGGTTGCCTCCAAAATAGCTGTTTGGACTACGGTATGCTCGCAACTTCACTTTTTTGTCAGGAGGATTTTATATATCATACAATCATATAACATTTGTAGCTCCTTTCGTATTTGAACCTCTCTTTGTGAGATTTGTTCATTGTGTTCTGTTCCTTTCCTTTTTTCTTTTTCACTAAACAAATCTTGACACTAAAAGGATGTGATTTCTTTTGTTCTTTTGCAGGTGGTTAACCCTTTCACCAAATATCCTTTTCATATATCATTTGGTTTATGAAGAGAGTCTATTGATGAATTGAATCACACAACAAATTCCATACTGGTGTCTGGGAGTTATGAAACTAAATGGTTCCCCATCTTCGTACCAAATTTCATTCTTACACCTGAGATTTTTCGTGTCCTTAATTACTACACGCGTCTATTTAATTATCTTCCTTAACATAAGAAACGAATAGCTCTCAATCTTTTTTATGCTCTGAAGTGATTATTTATACACTTGTAAAGTCAATCACGGGTTTGATCTATTTTAGATCCAGTATGTTCCTGTTTTCAGCATTCACCTTAACTAGGGACCACATATGCATTGACCATGTCTCCGGTAGCAATGAGTCTTGAAGAACTCATTCCATCAACTCATGTCAAATCTTATGCTTACTCTATCCTCATAAGAACTGCCCTCGTGTTATCGACTTTGATCGTGGCCCTATCGATCCCTTTCTTTGGTAAGTTTCTTGTTCATCATCATCTTGTTTTATTTGTTCATAGGTTAGTAGATCAACAGTCAAATCTAGGACTTGCAGCGTCTCTTTATCTTATTTCTACATTGTCACTGAGAGACTTCTTTACTTTTGCTTCAGGTCTTGTGATGTCACTTATCGGATCTTTACTCACAATGCTTGTGGTAAGCTTGAGTTAATGAGTTACTTTTACGTTTAGAGGAGTTTAAAGGTTCTCGGTACATATATACGGAATGCTTTTACTGATTTTCAAATCATATTTGCTGGTTGATGATGCTGAGCTATATTATTGCAGACCTTGATACTTCCCTGCGCTTGTTTTCTAAGCATTTTGAGAGGAAGAGTGACGCGTTTTCAGGTATGCATATGTGCATTATTAGGCATCGACATAAGTTCTGGATATTCATGATGCCGTAGTTTATATTCAAACCAACTGATCGGAGGACAAAAAGTTCTTAAGACCAAAGCACCATACATTGGTCATCTAGTCTTCCTGCTGCTATGTTAGATCCTAATTCATTCATAAAATATCTATACCACCGCTTTAGAAAATTTATAGGAATGTAACAATAGATTCTTATAAAGATTTAAAAATACTTCTCTCATTTGTGAAACTTTTTGAAAGCAAGTCATTGAAAGAAGGATGAATTAAGGACATGAAACTTTCCATAAGAGCTTTGCTACTGTAATTTCATTATGTGTCTCAGTATGGTCGACAGATAAAGCTTCCAAGCTGGCCTTCTCCGCATATTCTTGATGATTTGCGTCTCTCTTACTATCAGGCGGCATTTTGTTGCTTAATCATCATAGTGGGGGTCGTTTCGTCGGTCTTCGGAACGTATTCCGCCCTTTCGAAGATCATCGAGAACTTGAGCAGCTAAGGACTATGAGAAGAGTTTTGCAGACGGATGGGAGATATCTCTCTCACACACACACACACATCACATCTATGTTACTCTCAATTTTGACAGTTTTGAGTTTGTACTAGTACTCCTTTGATGATGTCTCTTTACCTAGTTAGTGATCCTTTATGAGTATCAATTTCATCGATAATTTATACAAGACACATTGATATTACAGAGATGCAAAATTTGGCTTTTACGTACTGATAAATAAATAAATCGTTTATGTCGAATTAATCTGAATATAGATGTTCATTGTCTGTGCATCAGAGGTATGAAGTAGAGGTAATTCTTTTTGCATTATACAGCTTAATCACTACTATTTGAAGTAGGATTGCGCTTAACAAGTAAGAACTAGTAGTGACATCAGGTCATCAAACTGCTGTAATATCTTACCAGTTATCATAATTTCTAGTCAATAGCTCTCGTAAGATCTATTGGTTAATGTGACAAAACATAGCTTCAAATTTGGAACTACATGTGCATGAAAACTAGATGTGCTATGGAACTTTCTTTACCCGCTGCTGAGAAAACTCTTATCTGCATCAAACAGTACTAGCATCAGCGAAAAGAAGCACGATAGGTTTAGATAGATGTAATCTAATCTTAGTCCGGTTAAGATTGATGTGATCTAGTCATCAAAGCATGATAGGTATCGATAGATGTAATTTAATCTAAGTCCGAATTAGATTGATGTGATCTAGTCTTAACATTTGAGGGCAACAAATTCTTAAAACTCTTGATTTGAGTAATCAAATCCTAAACTTTTCACTTAAAACGCAATCTAGTTCTAAACATATACCTGCAAGTGCAATTTAAATTTGCCTCATTGGTCAGGTCTATGGTACTTTTCAATACTGTTTTCATTTTGGCCGCCATAAATCTACGCCTTTCCATTGACATAATCAAATCCCTTTCTCTTTTTGGAAAAAGCAATCAAGTTACTTGGCGATACTTTTTTAACAAAATGATTCAATTGCACTTTTAAAAAAAATAATAATTAAAGATTTGATTAACGTTTATAATGCGATATATTGCCTGACTGATGCTAGTTTTTCGAGCTTGGAATGTGAAGCTAGGCTTGAGGCCCCAAAAACTTGAATGGTCGGAAAATTTGAACCAGTCTAAGCTCGCGGAATAAAAGTAGTGCCCTTTTATGATCCTTCAAGGGACAGATCCTAAATGTTACCGAGTCATATATTCGCTCATCTTGTCACGTGTAGTACCACACAATTACTTGGAATTTTTTCTAATGAATAGTGTTACATTAAATTGGAAAAGCAAATAAAACCAAAATTATTTGAGAGAGAAATAAATGCAAAAAAGGTAGACCCGACATAGGAGATTTATGTGGGTCGGTAACGTGGAGAAATCGATTATTATCAATAAAGAGAAAGTAACAATTGCTTAATCACACTCACTCACAAAAGTGTTTTCCAATCTCGATTTCACCTGAATAAGCCCGACAATAAATATAAAAAAAATTATCATTGTATTTCTTTCGATAACCCTCTTTTCAAGTTAGGGTTAACTTGAGTTTTTAACATTCACTGCTTTATATATGTATCGGCCCTAAGTGGCAGATGGCCACATGGATCAAACGATTGGATTTGCATAATTCGGGCCTTCGCCGGGCCAGTCCGGCCAACGGACCATGTCGTGCCCGAGCCGGCATGGCCAATGAGCCAAGAGCTACTCCAAACCAATTTTGCTCGCTCTGGATTGCTCGGACTATTTAAACTTTAGTCGGTTTCGAATCAAATCGAGTCTAAAGTCCAAGCCTTTCGACAAATAGCTTTTCGAGTTCTTGGGCCACGGCATAATCGGAGGGTGGGAGCAAGGAACCAAAAACATCATCAGAGGATGTGTCCCAAGAGTCCCGGAAAGTCCAGAAGCGGCTGAAACGGCTCCTCATTTCAGACAGAAAAAACGAACCAATGACATCAAACCATTCTTGGTGCTTCCTCGGAATGCTCAGTGCCCGCCGCACGTTGGAATCTTCTTGTCTCTGTTTCCTCCTTTTCGTCTCCGACCCACTTCGCGTTTGTGCAATTTTTTCTCAAATTTGACTTCGAACGTCCTTCTTGCGCGACGGCGATTGATGGGTCTTCCGTAGGAGCGCAATCTTGATCTTGGGTCTCGCTCGCCATGTACGCAATGAGACTCTCTCCCTCTCTCGATCTCGGGAGCCCCAAACCCGGCGTACCCCCGCGCGACCCGCCGCGGGACTCGCTCCGGTCCTCCTCGATCGTTCGCTCTCGGGCGCTTCCCGTCGCATTCGGTCGTGTGATGGTGCGTTGTTCGAGTTTGGATTGTGCAGTTCAGAGGAGAATTTCAGCTCTCGGCGCGGTCGGCCAAGATGGGCACACGTTGAAGGAGGAGCTCGACGACTCGCCCGTGTCGGTCGAACTGGAGCCGATTTGCAGCGAGAGCCAGTTCGATCGGGTCGTGGCCGAGGCCCAACAGCTTGAGGAATCGGTTATTGTGGTCTGGTATGAGTTCTTGCATTCCTGAGTTTCGTGTTTTTGTGTTCTCGATTTCGTTTGTTTCGTTGGGCCGTTTTGTGTTTCTGTGTTCTTGGCTTAGAAGTATGTTGGGAGATTGGTAGCTGTTGTTTTTGTTTGGCCAAGGAGATTGGTAGCGGTTGAAAGATTGCAAAACGAGTGCAGATGTTTGAGTCGGCTTTTCCATTGTAAAGTTAAAGAACCGGATACACCAATAAAATCTGATGAAGCTCTGTATAGGCTTGTATTATAGTATTTTATTTTGCAAATTTATATGACAAGATAAGCTCGTTAGCAGATAATGCAAAGCACATACCATTGTGGAGTGAGGCCATGAAGGAAAAGAGCCAACTTTGCCTTGAAGTTGCCCTGCTACAAATGAGTTTATTGAAATGACTAACATGGACTTGTAGGATGGCAAGCTGGTGCAGAAAATGCATATATCTGAAGCCAAAATTGGAAAAGTTGGCTGCTGATTACTATCCAAGGTTAGACTGAATTAATTTTCCCCCAAATACTGACAGATAGGCATTTGCCATCAACTTTTCTTGACTTGATAATACTGAAGGATAGTGGTATTGCCCGCTCAAAGTTTGGTGCATCCGCACGTGGACATTCATATTATTTTATCTTTAGATGTTCTTTGAGGAAATTTTTCATATTGGAGGAAACCCGTATTAATACATAAGAATGCAAGAAGGTGTGGATATTCCATCTCCCAAACTAGATCTTCTTCCATGTTCTGTTGATTACTCCTATCAATTCCTTGTTGCAACTCATAAAATTTAATTTTGATTTAACCAAACCATTCTTTCAAACCTGCTGAAGTTTCTCTTATAGATCTGCGCATTTCAAATAAAGCTTTATAATCTAGTTGAAATATGGATGTCCTCATTTGGTCATGCTGCACACCGCAATCAGCTTCACTTTCTTCAGCATTTTTCGCTCCAAAGAATTTTTAGAGAAAGGTTTTTGTGGTAATTTGATCAGGGCGTTGGTGCATCTGTATTAATATGGTATAATGATCTGTTAAGCAGTTAAGTTTTGATGGCGTCATTATGTTCCGATTGAAAATTTTACTCTACATAAATGGAAGTAAGGACTGGGAATGGTGACAGTTGATTCTGTTTTCACAACTGGTGGGTGAAAAGAAAATATCCAGAAGATGGTTTCATCTTCTTATATGATAAGTCCTAGACAATTATGTCCTTTTCTCATAGCAAATACATGACCCATGAGTCAACATATTGCCCTACTTATCCCAAAAAACAAAGTGTTTATCTGCCTGCCTCTCTTTTATGTCCAGCTAGAAGCACAGCATTTACCTGTGGTTTTGCAATTTACCTTTTGTAACCCTACCCCGGCGATTCCGTTATGCAAGTATGAGGTGTCATCCTGGCTATTTTGAGTCTGGCAGCAGATGTTAGTGTAATTTTCAGAAGTGCAAGGGGTATTACTCTGGTTTAGCCAAAATTCAGGGGTTGTCAAATGTAATTTACTCTGAAAATTTCTTATATTGCAATCTATTGCAGATTGCGCTTTTACTGTGTTGATGTCAACAAAGTTCCTCATAAGCTGGTTGCTCGAGCAGGTGTCAATGTAAGTCCAAAGCTTTGGGTTGTTGAATTATCTCTCATTTCTAGATCCCATATGAGATCTGATAGTGATTTTATGATGATCAGAAGATGATACTGTTAAAGTTTGTGAAATGTGGCAATATGAAGTGCTCTTATCAAAATAGGTCGTACCAACCTATTCAGATGATATGGTAGAAAGTGAGTAGCATTCCGAAACTCTTAGGACCTCACCTAATGCATGGCACTGCTTTTGATTTAAGAAATATTTGCATGCTGTAATTTGATGAGGAATGTAGTATTGCATGTAATTCAATGCACAAACTCACATCCAGATTTTCCTTCTTAATGGGCTATCTGAATGCAGCTATACATGCATTTCCCTTATGGCTTTACTGAGGTAGAAATGCATAACAAATCGAAGTAGTCTGAAATGGCAAGCCTAAGACTTTTGACATAAAAGTACCAAACTTTCCTCGGTTGATGATGTCTATTAAGATGCCTGTTATAATGGGGCAAGACTGGTCATTCTAAGAATTTTCACTGTTTTGATGTTCTAGGTGATGCAACAAATGGGTGTTCAAAACCAGTGACCCCAAATTAGATGACCACTATAAGATGGCTTGTTTAAACATCCAAGAAAGCTTTGCAACACCTTCTCATGAACACTATTTTGGGAACATTTAATGTTTATAGCGATCTTATTATCATTCAGTGAGATAGATACTTGTGCTAATGTTATTGCATTTGTTGTAAATGGGAATCAGCTCGCCAAATAGCAGTTACTTTAAACAATGAACTTATTGCCAGAGTTATGCTCTGAAAAGATCAGACCCTGCCCCTGATCCTTGATAGAAGATAGTCTTGAGATTTGAAAAACTTGGTTCACTTGATACTAGTCTCAATTTACCTTTAAGTAGAGCCATATTAAATTAGGATAATTGGTGTTGCTTAGTTTCAGTAAATACATCTGCAATTGTGACCACGTCTGTGACTGCGAATATGACAGCACGAGTGGGGCTGGATTGATAGGTTGCGTCTTTTGTTGTTCGTTGGTACCGTTACAATCTCCAAGTTTGCATTGTTTCAATTGCTTTTCTTGCTTTGACTCAAACTTGGCAAAATGGTGATTAACACTTAAAAATTTCTTCTTATTTGGACACGACGGGGATTGGAATTGTGAACAGAAGATGCCGACTATACAGGTATCAATTCTGAATCCATGTGAGGAGTTTGTTAAACTCTCTGCTTGGAGTAACTGAAAATTTTGTATTAGCAGCTGTGGAAGGATAGCGAGAAGCAAGCTGAAGTGATTGGTGGCCACAAAGCATACCTAGTCGTCAATGAAGTTCGTGAAATGATTGAAAATGAGTGTACAGCGTGAAGTACGAAAAAGAGGCAATTCTTTTTATGCAATTCTGTCCACAGGATTCATTTCATTAGGTTCGATATAGAAAATGAATGCCGGGTGTCAACTACTTGACAGAACCCTCCCCTCTTCCTTTATCCGAGCTTAGGACCGGTATTGGAAGATAAATCCTGCCCGGGCAGATTGTAGTTTCTGTCTATATATTCGTCGAACTTGTCATCGTTCTTACTGCATTTCCACAGGGGATATAAATGAGGATTCTCTATTTTGCCTCTGTGCTTCCTTCTGTCGCTCCATTTACTTATAAATAGCCCGTTGGTGACTCTAATTGCTTGTTAAATTGAAGGCCAGGGCGTGGTTTATTCCAGGTGATTAATTGTCAAGGACGTTGTTCCACTGATGTATGATGATGATTTGCCATGGTGTACAAGACGATTGGCAAGAATAGAGACTGACAGGGGAAGTTCTTAAGTTGAGACAGACAGAATGCTGTTCATTGGGTTGATTTCATAGTATATTGTTCATGTGTGTTGGTTCTATGTTGTTGTTCAGTCTTTTCATAGCTTAGTCTTTCCCATTTTCACTTTGATAGATTGGCTTTTGCCCAGTAATTATCAAATTAGTTTCCCCATTTTTCTCTCTTTTTTGGTTTTTTTCCTCATAAAAATTAGGGATAATGACACAGTAGATACCCGACTTTTGTCCGTTTTATAGTCAAGTGCCTTTTTTTTTTTTGGTTCAATCAAGTACATCAACTTTCCAAATTTGTCTCAATATGAGGTCTTCATCAAATAAATTATCATGTAGTGTAATCTCGGTCGACATGCCTCGGTTAGTAGCAAAAGTTAAACCTTATTGACGACATGGCTCACGCACTTAACAAAAGATACGTTATCTATCTCCATTTAGGTTTTCGGTCGTGATGATCGAAACTCGACCAACCCGAACCAATCGAAAGAATTTTTCTAATCCAAGCTAATCTACATATCATGAATAGGAAAATAGATTGCAGTCCTGGGATTTTTCAAGTATATCTTTTGCCAAAATCAAGCTCAAGATACATTTACCCTTAAAATAGAGGGGAGTGACGATCAAAATCATCCGGAGATCTCTTTTGCCAAAAATAGGGGACCGTGATAAAACCATCACAAATCATCAATGATTGCTTGCTATCTATCTTTCCTAAAAAGAGAGCCCCAGAAGTTTGAAAAAATTAGAGTTTCCTCCCCAGTAAAACAGTCCTAATTTCCAATTGCCCCCACCATATGCCATGCACGCACGTAACCAGCTTGCCGTTGGTTCTCGATCTTCCGGCTGTTATTTCTCTGCGGTAGTCCCCACCGTACTCTCTCTCTCTCTCTCTCTCTCCGTGAAGACAGACTCACTTCTCTTCCTGAACACCGCCGAGGCATTTTGTTGCGCCAGAAAAGGAGGAAAGAACAGAGGGAAAACAGAGGAAAAGGCAGAATCTTGCGGGTTATCTCTGTGCATTGGGGAGGTTTTCTTTCGTGGGTTCGGGTCAGATTTTCCCGTCTGGGTCCTTTTTCGCCGTGGCTTGTCTGCAGATGGGCGCGTTCGTGTTTGATTTGGAGCTCCGACGATCTTGAATCTAACGCGGTGAGGTCCCTGGGTACGCCTCCTGCGTCCTCTGTTTTCCTTTTCTTTTTTCTTTTTTTGGCGCTTTCTTGAGCTTTGTCGTTTGTTTCGTGTCGTGGGGTTGTTTTGAGATTGGATGGTGGGTGGGCTCTGAATTTTTCCTACGATGTTGATTTCTGTTGGGTTTTGTGGTTGGATGTTTCGATGATCCTGCGACGCGGCGATTCGGTGTTTGGCGACATTCTGGTGTAATTGAAATTTTGAGTCTTGAAGTTTGCATTTTGTTGGGTATGCGAGCAAATTGTGCTTAGCTCTCTCTACCTTCCCAGAACAAGGTTGATTTTACAACAAGCGAAATAGAAATTGGGTTACTTGGTATGTTTTTCTTGTGCTGTTTTGTTTTCTGATTTTAAATGTTTGTTTTTTAATGGTGAATTAAGGTTTTTGAAGATGGTATCTGCTGGTAACATAGACACGCTGTCCACGAACAATGGCCTGGGAGGATTCAACTGTAACTTAGAAGATAGTTTGCAAAATGAGCTTGAACTGTTGTTGCAAGCGCAGCGTAACCAACAAGCACTTGATCGGGAAAGCAAGCTTAACATCTATCGTAGTGGTAGTGCACCGCCCACGGTTGAAGGATCGCTCTGTGCTGTTGGAGGTCTATTGGGGAACTCTCATTTTAGAGAGGGTAATAATTTGAGGAGGAATAGTAACTGTGACAATGCAAGTGAAGAGGAGGCTCGATCCCACCCAGCATACTTATCATACTACTATTCACGTGAGAACGAGAATCCAAGACTGCCCCCACCATCATTGTCGAGAGAGGATTGGAGGGTTGCCCAGAGGTTTCAAGCCGGTGTGTCGTCTTTTGCGGGCATTGATGATTTGACAAATAATACTGTTACTGAAGGTGGGAATGATTCGTCGTTGTTTTCTTTCCAACCCAAAGGCTGCAGCTTTTCTGTACAGGATGCAGAAAAGGATTTGATGGAACTAAGAAAAATGAATAGACAAGCTTCTGCTGAATGGCTTGGCAAAGGATCGAATGAGCTCATTCAATCGTCAGCTTCTAGGTTGGAAACACGGAGGAAGAGTTTTGCTGACATTCTTCAGGTAATAAATACAACTACGAGTAATTTGCAAGGGGGAAAAGCGGATATAAAGAAATTGACCTCAACTTTACTTGCTTGATAAGGACAAAATTGCCATCGAACTTTCCTGGTCTATCTCTGTACAGTTTTATTCTCTTACTGTTTATCTCTCGGGCTTGCTCAATAAAAGATGGTTTTGACTTTGTTGCAGCTTGAGGATCCAGTTTTGCAGTTCTATAGAAGACAGCACTTCTATTTATCTCTTTCTTAATCGATAGTTTATGTTTTTATCGTTGAGACTATTAATACAGGGGTTATTACATAGAGATATATGGTTTCTTAGCCTAAGGAAGCGGACTCTTTGGTTACATAAGCATTGAAATATTGTGTCCCCTTGTTTTCATTTTTCTTTATCTTTTCTTGGCTTTAGAACAAAAGTCAAATGCAGATTCTGCAGCTCCCAGAAAAAAAGTAGAATAACAATTTGCACCCTGTGTGACTCACTCATATTAACATAATATAACTACAGTGATGCATCTGTTGCAGTAAGGTCCGACTAAGATGTTTAATATGGCATTGCTTTATCAGAAAAAAAAAAGAAAAACAGTGGAAACATATCTTTTGGTTAGCACCTCTGTAAATAGTTTCTTCAGTACTTGTACAATTATTTGTATGATATCCCTGGTATATACAAGCATTAGTCCATGCTATCAATTGTTCTCCTAGCAAGTAACTTCACATTTTTTATAAAATTTTTAAAACGGGATAACTGTTGTCTTGAATGGTGTGGCTGTATAATTAATTGCAGTCGAGTCCTCTAGTTATATACTACTTGTAAGCAAAAACTTCTTATAATCTTTTTCATTTCTTTTCTTTTTTAATTTCAATTGACAACTCAATTTGATGCTAATTAATCTCTTTCAGGAAGGGCTTGAGCAACCCTCTAGTTTATTGGTCTCGCGCCCACTAAGTGCTAGTGATATTACTGATGTCATGGACCCAATTACATCCAATTCTCATCCAATGGGAGCCTGTAATGGAGTTGAATCAATTGGAGGCATCTGTTCTGGAGCTAATTCTCCTGGTTTAACTAGAGCTCGTGCCTGTGGGACCTCATTTCCACATTCTTTTGCTTCTGTTGCTGCATCTCTCTCAAGGACTATGACCCCTGAGCCACAGGTGGCTGGAAGACATCCTAGCACTGGTCTTCCTCCACTTGATAGCAGGATTCTTTTGCCTGATCAGAGGAAGCATATTGTTGGCTCAAGTATTTCAGGTTGTCATTCTTTGGCATCGGCAGGGATTGAAGATATTGCAGCTTCATTATCTGAATTAAGTTTATCAAATAGTGGACATACTAATGAAGCTGGTGTTCTACAGTCTCAACTTCATTTGGCTCCTGATAACCAGCAAGATTTCTCACTTCTGATGCCTAATGATCATAACCAGAATGTTCAACAACATTTTGACTTCTTTGATGCTAGCAAACCTTCAGGTTTTGGCAACTCAATTGATTTAGTCAGAAACCATGGATCTATAACCGGGCTCAGTTCTAGGACAAGTACCACAGGTCAAGTAAATTTTCCGAAACGAACATCTTCTTCTGCAAATCTGTTTTCAACAAGGAACTCTCTGGGCTTTGAAAATTTCGAAGGATCTAGTGCTCATCATCACCGAGGTGACAATATTCTCAATTTTGGTTATAGTGATCATCCGGTATCTAGTGGTTATTTTGCTGCAGGTAAGATTGGTCCCATCTTTATCCCACTAGTGTCAGTAAATGTTAGAAGAGTTAATCCTACTGTAATATTATTTCTTGATGTTTTATGTCGTATTTCAGGTGCAGGTGTGAGTGGAAATCATGTTGGAGAGATGTCGCAGAGAATGGGAAATCAAGTAGGATATGACATAAATCATCCAATTGCTGATCCCTCTTTTGTTCAGTATATGCAACCAAATTTCAATCCTCGAGCACCGCCTATACAAAATGATCTTTCCCAATTGAGGAAATCCTTTGGTTCTTCGCCAAATTTGGATCAGCTGCAGAAGGTTTACCTTGAGGCATTGCATGCTCAACAGAAACAGCATTATCAGGCCCCAGGTTTGGGTAAGTTATCTGCGGCACTAATTCATAGAAACAGAAGAGATGTAATCTATGAATCTCGCTTGCCATATTCTGGAAATGTAACAGCAAATGGTGGATTTTCTTCCGTTGGATTTGGAAGCCATATGCTTCCTGATGAACGAATTGTGCAATTTACTTCAATGATGAGAACTTCAGTGGGAGAGTCCACTGGATCATGGCCCTCTAGTTCTGGCACTGATGTTGAAGGAAAATTGGTCTCATCATTGTTAGACGAGTTCAAGAGTAACAAGATCAGATCTTTCGAACTGTCTGATATTTTGGGTCATGTAGTTGAATTTAGGTACTCTATACCACTTTTGCTTTTTTTTTTCCTTTTATCGTCCCCTGGTTCAACTTTAAGTTACTTTGACCTGTTTAATATTGCAGCTCGGATCAGTACGGTAGCCGCTTTATTCAACAGAAACTGGAAACGGCCAGTGAGGAAGAAAA